GTATATCATGGCTATTGGGACACAGGTGCCATGAAATGTAAAACATTTAAATCAGGAATTATTGGGACTTTGCACAAGTATGAACTGAGCAACATGTTTTAAGACTAATGACTCCGAGCTCTGTTTAAATGTGTCGTGTGGCTGTAGTGCCACCTGGAGGTAAAATGCTCCCATTCATGACAACATTACGGTGACAACATTTTTATAAAACTCACCAGTTTAAATTATATTACGGCTTTAAGTTATGCAGGTTGGTGCCGTCACTGTTTTCATTAACCAGGCTCAGCTACACCCACGCTCCACTCCTTTGCCCATTTTAGATCCGGCAGAGTTGGGAAGGCCAAGATGGCAACAGAACTTCAGAAACCTACAGTTTATGGTTCCAGAGCCGCTGCAGCTGGTTTTACGTCAATTAAACCACACCTACAAGAACTTGGCAACCAGGTACCAGAAAGCTGTATCGAATATATATATATATCTATAAAATGAATTGCTGTTTTGTGCTCTAATGTTACCAAATTGGATCAAAATGGCATAAAATAGGCAGAAATGGATGTGCCTTTGTGTTTCTGCTCATACACTAATGAGCTAAAGTGTTTTGGAAATGGCCACATGGTGGCGCTAATCTGTACGCAAAGGTAAGGAGTTCTTGGATTATGTCCTAACTTTCCACCAGATTTCACTGAACTCTGTTAAAGGTTTCACAGACGAACCCGACTGTAGCTTCTATTTGTTCTCATTTTGATATTGTCTGAACCTCAGCACTTATCTGCTGTTGGCAGTTTCTTCTCCTGAAGTGAAACCTGATTCCTCCAGATCTCTGAAGATTGTGGGTCAGGTAGTTCAGACTGAATCTGTAATCAGTGCCTGATAATCTGAGCTGGGATTCCCCTTCTTAAAACTTTAGCCCCAGATAATGATTGACTGATCATACAACAACAAACCACAAACACCCGCACAGAAATGTGTTTATTATGTGATTAAGTATATCAATATAATGCATATTTTCCCTTGTATTGTAACTCAAATCCCATTTAAATTACACAAATATATTATTTCACCATTAGATATTGCTCACCAGAACTGGAACATATGTAACATACTGGACTACACTGAAAAAGGGTAATTCTTCTAATGTAGACAAAATGGCAACACATGGCAACACACAGCATGTGATGTTGTTATCACTCCCAAATAGTTTGACTGTTTAAATAAATGGACAATAACTAAATCTGTTGGTCACATTGAATGTTTGTTTAAATCAGTAATGGTTGTAAATTCAGAGGTTAAACAGGCCTCTATAAAGTAAAATTAAAAAATGAAGTCTAACTCTTCAGTTATATACAGTATATGAATAAATCTATATTTTATAAGGTCTAAAATCATGAGCCAAATGCAAAAATACTAAATAAAATTGCACATTCAAGTTCACATGTCACTTAACCAAACAAACCTTCAACATCAAAAGATAATTGCTGAGAACCTGTTTGCAAAATGTTGACACAGTGAGGACAGTGGCAATCGAAAAAATCCTGCAAAACCAGACAGAGTGGAATTTTGTTTTTTCATGGCAGTAGAAATATGCACATGCTTTAACAACTGGCCTGAAAAAAAAAAACTGGTTCAGTGAGGCTGTGGGTGGGGTTCAGATGTGACAAACAACCATAAATAGAAACCAAAGCCAATTACAGAAAAGCATCCATCAGCTTTTCTTCAGTGCAACTATGTACTTTTGTTTTTAAAGATTAGATTTCGTGACCTGTGCCTTCATTCGACAGTAGACAGTATAGAGAGGAAACCAGTTAAAGGATAATTAGGTGACAACATGCAACTCTTCACAAAAATTACGTCATCATGCATTACATGTTAGACCACTTGCCCACCAGAACACCCCATAATTTTAAAGAGAAGCTCTGTAAAGGATAGGTTCCTAATTAATTAATTTTAATGTTCTCACAACAGCAATTTTTTCTGCTGCATCAAATTGATTCAGTTTACAGTTGACTATAGCTTTCTGCTAACTGTAACATTAACTTGGGTTCTTGGGACTCATCTTCTAGAAGTCTTTTACAACAAATATAATTTTTTTTACAACAGCTGAGTTTCAAACTAAATATGCACCCTAATTATTTCCAGGATATTTGGTCATTTTCAATACATTTCTATGTATTTCCATAACTGGGAAACTAGTGTCTAAATTTCCAGCCTGACACAGTTTGGAATATATTTTTGCACAGAGGGAGGACTGAGGAATTAGCCTCCCATATATCTTATATTAAGATTTCTATTGTAAAAATGAAAAAAATATTTGTCTTTTTTTTAAAAAAGTGAACCTATCCTTTAATAAAATAAACCAATAACATGCTGTGGAAGAGATGTCTCAGTCTGGGATTAGTTGGGTTTAATTCTCCCAGTCTGAAATAAGAAGCTTGCGGTCTTCTGCTTTTCTCTTCCTGGTGAAGTAAGCAACCATCACAGCCATCACCATCAGTGACACTATGAAGGCGCTGGCGAAGATCAAGGTGCTGGTGTTGGTGTTGAGGATCTCCCTGATTACCCCACCTCCTCCGCTCGATTTGGTGTCTGAGGAAGCTGGTGGAGGAATCGCTGAAAGACAACCGTACAGCAGTTAAGATAGATAGATAGATAGAT